GAAGGAGGAGCGGGCGCAACAGGAGGCGCAACAGGAGGAAGCGGGAGCGGAAACGGCGGAGGAGCAGCACCATCCGCCCCACCAGAACCAGAAAGCGACGACGACGATGTGCAGGAGGTCATCCCGCAGCATCGCCATGACAGCACCGTCACCGGAATGCAACTCCTCGGGCTCCATGCCGCTACCTCAACAACGCCGCGCGTCATCGAGCCTAAGAACCCACGACAAGCACTCACGGGACCTCACAGCAAGGAGTGGCGCGAGGCAATGGATGCGGAGATAAGGGCACTCGAGTCACGCGACACCTGGGTACTCGTCGACCGTGCAGCAGTGAAGGGGAGAAGAATCCTTTCCGGCAAATGGGTCTTCCTCGTGAAGACAGGAGCTGACGGGTCGATCGAGCGCTTCAAAGCGCGCTGGGTAGTACGCGGCTACGACCAGAGGCACGGGATCGACTTCGATCAAACGTTTGCACCGGTGAGCCGCCACACCTCCGTCAGGATACTCCTCGCCATCGCAGCCGCACGACATCTGCCGCTCCGACAGATCGATGTCAAGAACGCATTCCTGTACGCGCTCGTAGATGCAGTAATCTACGTGGAACAGCCGCACACATACGGCGAAGGAGATTCACGGGTCTGCCAGTTGCGGAAGTCCCTTTACGGGATCAAACAGGCGCCGAGACTCTGGCAGCAGTACCTGCACAACATACTGCTTGAAATCGGGTTCAAGCAGCTGCCTCACGATCCTGGGATGTATCGCCGTGATTTCCGCGGCGAATACATCCTGCTCACGGTCTACGTCGACGACCTCCTCTACACAGGGTCAAGCAACGAGCTGCTCGAGCAATTCGAGAAAAACCTCGCAGGGCGCGTCGACATCACCTGCAATCATGACGTGAAGCAGTTTCTCGGGCTCAACATCACTTACTCGCCGGAAGCCATTCATCTCTCAGCAGCGAAGTATGCAGAGGAGCTTAGCAAGCGCTTCAACATTGCGCCTGCACCACTCTCCACCCCTTACCGCAACCCAGGACCCGACCACAAGCCAGACAACAAAGCCCTGTCCCCTGCTGGGCTTCACACCTACCAGCAACAGTTGGGATGCCTGCTCTTTGCATCTGTTACCTGCAGGCCCGACCTTTCCTACATCGCGAGCCAGTTGGCTCAGTACTCTCGCAAACCAACGGCTGAGAATCTACTAGATCTTCAGCGGGCGCTCCAGTTCTTCATCTCCACGCCCAGCATCGGGCTCTGCTACTCCACCATACCAGCTTCATCCTTCAACCTCATCGGCTACGTGGACGCCGATCACGCCGCTGACCCCGATAATCGACGGTCCAGGACAGGCTTCGTTTTCCGTCTCGAGCCTAGCGGCCCCATCTCCTGGAATTCGCAGAAACAGGAGCTGGTTGCCCTGTCATCAGCGGAGGCTGAATTCATCGCAGCAACAGCAGCCGTTCGCGAAGGCCTCTACCTTCAGGAGCTGTTGCAGGAGGCGAAAATTCCAGCCTCGACGAATTTTCGCCTACACTGCGACAACCAGAGCGCGATCAGAATCGCGAACAAGCCGGGATTCGTCAATCGGACCAAACACATCGCGCTGCGGTACTTCTTCGTCAAGGACGAAGTTGACAAGGGCAAGGTTGACCTAACCTACTGCCCGACGGGTGACATGGCAGCTGACTTCCTCACGAAGAAGCTGTCACGTCAGCAGTACCAGCACTGCTCCGAACTCAGCGGGGTAGTCAAGAGGGTCAAGACTCGCTACGGCCAGGAGTGAAGGGGGGTGTTACGAATAGTGATTGTTGAAACACTATTACACACTCCTCACCGCAGCAATCGAAGCACGCTTTACCGAGAACGGAGACGGACAGGCGGAGGTGACATGAAGAGTCGCACGGTTGCGAAAGGATCTGGACCGTCGGGCAGACAGCATCAGGCAGCAGCAGTGGCGAGGATTCTTCCCGAACAGTTTCGTAACTGTCTGGAGTCGCACGGTTGGATTTCGCTGCAATAAGGGAATGTACCCCTTAGAGTACATGGCTAGCTAGGTCGATTGGTATCCCCTTGTAATCTTATTTATATTCCTTGTACTGCATGTTTTTATCATCTCAAGCATTTACATTCACTCTGCTATTGAGGTCAAGGGCCCACCACCACTAGACTAGGACTGTGCGAACCTTCCTGAGGTGATCCTGAGGGTGATCAAATTCTGATCGCAACAATCGTCCCGTAAAACCGAACACAGATTTTTGTTGAAAATGCGCATATATATTTCAATTATTGGTTTATAATAGTACTAATAATACTCTATCAATCCATACCTCAATATAAAAATGATATTAACCATTCGTGTTCCTTTTCTAATGTGTCTGAGATAACAGAACTAGTATTTTGGGTTGTCCAGCAATTGTAAGAGCAGTTTTACATTTACACGTATGTACCACTATCAGTTTGCCGAGTCTTCTCTTATTGATCAAGCTTTCCTCTGCCTCCAGTCTTTATCAAAAGGGGTCCTTATCAAAATGGGTCGCCTTTTTGCCTCGCGCCGCCATTGTTTCCCACTTACGCTGCAACACGCATTTCTCATTCGATGCGCTGCGTATTTAGGGTGGTGCCCAAGCTGCCCGAGCTAATGTCCCTCTACGTCTCGAGATTGCGCCACTTCGCTCCTCCTTTTCCGCCCACCTTCCGCTTGCGATGTCCTCAGCTGATCGATACACGCAAGCAAGCCCTCCTCCCTCCGCGGGCCGATATCCTTCCTCACGAGGTACTCCGTACTCTCCCCACGGTGCCAGTGCTCTCCATAGCAGCGGCTTCAACGGTCTAGGCAGCGTGATTGTAGGAAGATGGGACAGTAGCGGTGCCACCACCGCTACCGCCGCTGGTGGTGGGAATGCAACACCGCCGCCACCACTGACACACCCGCCTCGTGTAACCCCGCTTGCTTCCTCCCCGCTAAGCGCGTCTCCGTTAATGGCATCTGCACTAGGGGCAATTGGCGGAACTAGCAGAGCTGGTGCGAGTTTCGCCGGGCCCAGCACCAGCGGAAGCACCGCGTTTCCAGGGGGGAACTCGTATTCGGGCGCTAGCGCTAGCTCCCGCGGCGATGGCCCCGCAGGCGGCGGCAGCCGCGGCGGCGGAAACCCCGCGCGCGGTAGCGCAGGTGGCGCGGATCCGAGCCTATACGACCCGCTACTATACACTCCGCCCTCCTTCTTCCCACCATCGCCAGAAATCAACCCTACTAACCCTTTTAATGCCGAAATTCCCGCTACTTTTGCGCGGAACACTACAGGCGGGAATACAGACCCCGAGACAGGGGCAGGAGCCCCCCCATGCCCCCTGTGCCCCCCCAACCCTCCGCTCATCAGCCTCCTCCCTACGCTCTCTCTCTACGCCTTCCTTCTCTTCCTCCTCACCTTGCTTCTCGCCCTCCTCGCGTGTCGATCCCTCTGGCCACAATACGCCCCGCCCTTCTTGCTTACACACATACCTAACCCTAATATCCTCTCGCAGGTGCTGCTCCTAATACACCTCGTTTTCCTCACGCTCTTCGCGTTCCTATACGTGATTCTTTCCCGCCAATTGCTGCTACACCTCCTGTTCGGAGATCTGCTGCTTGTATGCCGGCTAGGGTGGTTAGCTGTATCCCCGTTAGTGGCGCTTTCCGCGGGAAACGCGCTCCTGCTCGTACTCGTGCTGCTGCTGGTGCCTCTGTTTCAGCCAGGCTCGTCCCCTTCAGGTCCCTTGTACCCCCCACCTCCTCCTCCTCTTCCTCCTCCTCCTCTCCCTGCCCCTCCCACTGTCCCCGGCCCTCCTTCCCTCGTATCAGTTGCTCCTTTCCCATCACTCCCACCACCGGCATTACCCCCATCACTCCCTCCATTCCTATCGCCCCCTCCTTCCACAGCAGCTCTACAAAATCACTTTGCTTCATCCTCCCGGCAATCCGCGTTAGTAGCAGGTATATTTCCTCCCAAAGCGATCCACCACCACCGGAAACCCCAATACCCCTCTCAAGCTTCCCCCCCTTTCTCCAAACAACCTGGTTTTTCCTCCCCCCCCTCTCCCTCCTCTCCCTCCTCCACTTCCTCCTCCTCTCATCGCTACCTGCGTCAACGACAGAAGCCGTTGCTGCTGCTCGAAAGCGGGCGTACCCCTGAGTTGGGGAGGCAGCGTGCACACGGATATGCAAAAGCAAATCAAGACCTGGTGGGTGTACCACAGATGACTTTTGAGCCGACTCATACCTCGTCGCAAGACCTGCAGGTCGCACCTCAGGACCTGGTTCGGCAGAGATTGCAGCAACACTGGCAGCAGCAGCAGCAGCAGCAGCAGCAGGCATGGCAGGTTGGATTACAGGGGGCTTCAAACTGCGTACAAGGGTTGAAACGACGCGTCTTAAGGATTGGGGTTTCAGGCTTGCTCGCCCTGCGGGGATGGCTGAGGTTCCATAGACCAGAGTGTGTGCAGAAGCAGCACCAGAGACAACGAGGGAAAGGGGAGCGAGAAGGGAAAGGCCAAGGGGAAGGAGAAGGAGGAGAAGGGGAAGGAGAAGGAGGAGAAGCCAGAGTCGAGGAGGGGGGAGGGGAAGAGGACGTGGTGCGTGCGCTTCTATGGCTGTCACTGGGGTTCATATGTCTCATGGAATCCGCCTTCTTTGCATGTGCGTCTGTGGCCTTCATTCACCAGGCGTTTGTGTGCCGCGCCCGCGCCCGGCACCAGGACCCTTGGCTCTCACACTCAGGCCTCGGGGCTGTTAGCAGCGGTGGGGGAGGGGCCGAAGAGGGAGAGGAAGAGCGGGGAGCGGGGAGGGGGCGAGGGAGGGGGAGAGGGAGAGGAGGGGGTGAAGGTGGTGGTGAGGGTGGGAGTGGGAGTGGGAGTGGAAGGAGACAGGGGTTGGTGGTAGGGGAGGTGGCGCTGATGCCTGTGGGATCCCCTCAGCTGGTTTGGTCGCAGAGAGCGTGGCTGCACCTGCAGCACCGCATTGCTCGAATGCTGCAGGTACACATGTTTGCTTCCTTGTGCATGCGTGACGTGGCATGGCGTGTGGCCAGCACATAATCCCATCCTCTTTGTCTGATTTGCATTCACTCTCCCTCTCCTTTTCGTTTTCCACCCGACTTCAAATTCTCTCCTTGCCGTTCCTATTCTTTCCTTTTCCTTACATCCGTTTCCTTCCTGCACATCTCCCTGCCTTTCCCATCTCCCTGTCAACCCCACAGCCCCTCTTCTTTTCTTCGCAACCTCAACTCACCTTTTTTCTAACTTTCTTCGCATCCCCACACCCTCCCCTCCCCAACGTCAACCCAACAGCCACTACACGAGCACCTGCTCTTCTTCTCCTCGCCTCTCACCAAGCCTGAGGACTCCGTCCTGCCGTCCTCTGCAGCAGCAGCTGCCGCCCAGGAGGCCCAGTCCTTCCGCTACGCACCCCTCCCAAGCCCCTCGCCCTCTGCCGCTGCTGCCTCTTCTTCCTCCTCTTCGTCCCCTTCTTCTTCTTCTTCTGCTGCTGCTGCCGCCATTGCATCGTCCATTTCTCCCACGCTCACCATACCACGGCAAACACAAGGCTCCACCACCCCCCTCTCCACCACCACCACTCCTGCTTCTTCTTCCGCTGCTGCTGCTGCGGCTGCCGCCGGGGGTTCTACCACTCGAATCCTCCTCACCTCCCCTACCTCCTCCTCCGTCCCCCTCCGATCGCTACCCAGTCCCTCCACTCCTGCCTTCCCTTCCTCCCTCTCGGGGGGCAGTTCTGGGTCAGCAGCGCTGCAGGTGCCACCAGCACAGCGGCTGCTGCAGGAGGGGGGGTTAATGCAGAGCGTGTACAGAGAAATGGTGGCGACACAGCAGCGGGTGGTGGAGTTGGAGCAAGAGGTGCATAGACTGGACGAGCAGAAGAAGCTGGTATGTAGTTTTGAGATGTCTAAAAAATACTAGACGTGTTTTGAGACGTCTCGAAACACGTCTCAAAACTCGAGATGGTGGCGAGGCGACACAGCAGAGGGTGGTGGAGCTGGTTGGAGCAATAGGTGGATGCATAGGGTTTGTATGAACAGAACAGAACAGAACAAGCCGGTATGTATGTATGAATACGTTTCGTGCTTTCATTGCTCCCTGCCCTTTCACGTTGCAGGCGCTTTTCTGGGAACCTTGAAGAAAACCTTCCAACCGACCGGCATTTCACCTGCATGCACACTTGTGCATTCACCTGAAACAGCACCAACGCCCCATGCCCCCCTTTGCGTCCCCCTCCCCCCATTCACCCACATCCCGCAGTATATTCAGGAGCACGCTCGCCTGCGTGGCTTATTGGGGGAATGGAGCGCCCATGCTGAGTTGACTTTTGAGTCGACTCAACAGTCAACCAATGCCTCCCTTTGCGTCCCCATCCGCCCATCCACCCACATCCTGCAGTATATTCAGGAGCACGCTCGCCTGCGCGGCTTACTGGGGGAATGGAGCGCCCATGCTGCCAGGCTAGAAGCTGCCCTGTACCACTCACAGGTCCATGCACAGAGAGAGGTGGAGAGGGAAGGGCGGAGAGGGGGCACGGGGAGGGTGGGGACAAGCGACAGGCAGAGAGGAGGGCAGACAGGTGGAGGGAGAGTGGGAGGAGAGAGTGGGTCACAGGCACGAGCGCAGGCACAGGCACATGCAGGGGGGGCGGCGGGGGGAACGGCAGGGGGAGCAGCAAGGGGAGCAGCAGGGGCAACAGCAGGGGGAACGGCAGGGGGAGCGGCAAGGGGAGCGGTAGGGGTAGCAGCAGGGGGAGGGGCAGATGGTGAGGCGGATGGGCAAGGGGAGGGGATTATGGATGGGGGAGAGAACGGGCAGGTGAACGGGCAGGTGCAGGAGGGGAGGCAGGCCGAGGGAGTGGGAGAGGGGGAGAGGAGGGACAGACGGGATTTGGATTAGGGATTAACTGCTGCTTTTCCAGCCGAGGTTATACCAGTAGCACAAGTGTGACTCTCTCTGCTGCTCCCTTCACTTTCCATGATCCATGTGGGGGTATGGTGATGATGAGTGAAGGTGAAGGAGCACTCTGGCACTGTAGCTAATGCAACAACCATATAATCATATACCGGTATGTTGTAGAGGCTAGGTACTGTAGTACTATGTGTTGAATAGGCATTGTATTACTATATGAGTTACTTACAAGGCACCATTAGTGCCTTTTATGTATGAGTTAAGCACTATTATTGCAACCCATCCCGCACTCTTTAACGAGGATAGAAAATTGCCCCCATGGCCTTCAGTTCACTCCTCCAACATTGGATATTCCGTCCAATGTTCTCGCTGCGGAGCCAGATTGTGCTGCTGTGGAGATAATTGCAACTCAGAGGCTACCGCGGTACTTGGCAAATAGTCTAGAATGCCCGCGACTCTCTCGCATTTATCGACCAAATTCTTGCGCGTTTGTTCTTCGAGTCCTTTTCCGCTCTCGCCAGCGCCGCTCCGCGCGTTGAAAGCTCCGCGCAGCCACCTTACACGTGTCACGTCCCTGCCGCGCGCGAAACAGCCCCCGGCGCATTTCGCGCTTTCCGGCTCGCACGCCTGTCAAGTATCTCGACTTGCTTATTCCTCCCTCCCGCCGCTCATCCCGCCGTTCAGCCCGCCGCTCCTTGCGCCGCAATTTGCTCACGCGCAGTTGCCGCAGCCACCGTTCCGCGCTGTGCGCGGAATGTCGTCCGGAGGAGGAGGTGCAGGCGCTGGAGTTGCGCGCGTGGGGGGAGAGGGCGCAGCTGCGGTGGCCGCGCCAAGCGCGGGCGCAGCAGTTGGTGCGCCCGCGCTTGTCCCCCCCGCGCTCGTGGTGCTAGAGGGGGTGGCGGAGCGGGAAGGGGAGATTGTCGCGACTGTGCGGATAGATGCGCGGGTGACTCGGGAAGAGGAGGGGCGCAGGGATGCAGAGGGGCGAGGGGAAGGGGGGGAGGAGGGGGGAGAATGCGCGGAGAGGCATGAGGGGGTGCAGTCTCACGTGGTGCAGGTGAAGGCTGGGGCAGGCGTTACCCGTAAGGAATTAGAGTACGTGCCTCTTCCTTACCCTCTTCCACCCACCCACGCAACCCCACTCCTCATCTCCCTCTCTCTTCTCTCCCTTTCCTTGCCCTCACTCTTTCCACTTTCTCCTCTCCCGCACCCTCCCCCTCTTCTGCACCACCTCCCTTTCTCCTCCTCTTCCCTCACTCTCATAAGTGCTGCCTTACCTTACTTCCCCCTCCCCTTGCACTGCCTGCTGCATTTCCTGCATCTCTGCCTCTCTACCTCCCTGCACCCCCTTCACCTTCTCCCCATCTTCCCCCCTCTCCCCCCAATCAGGGCGGCGGTGCTCTCTCCCCCCTTCGTGGCATGGCTACAGCAGATGGCAGCAGGCAATGGGCTGCTTGGCGCGCAGGGGGGGTGTGACGGCGCCAAGTGTGCTTTAAACGGGGTGACAGTGCAGAGTGTGGACATGTTCGGGGCGGGCAAGGTGGGCTTCGTGAAGTTCAAGGCTGACGTCACGGACGTCACTACAGGCGCCAAGGTGTGTAACGTGTTGCTGCTACAGTTGGGGAGGAGAGTGCTACAGGGGGGGTGCAGAGAGTGGACATGTTTGGGGCGGGCAAGGTGGGGTTCGTCAAATTCAGAGCCGACGTTACGGATGTTGCTACAGGCGCCAAGGTGTGTGCGTGGTGCTGCTACAGGCGGGGAGGTGTGTGTCTACAGGCGCCAAGTGTGCGCTAAACGGGGTGACAGTGCAGAGCGTGGACATGTTTGGGGCGGGCAAGGTGGGCTTCGTCAAGTTCAAGGCTGACGTCACGGACGTTGCTACAGGCGCCAAGGTGCGTGCGTGGTATGGGTGGGGAGGAGAGCGCTACAGCCGGGGAGCAGAGAGTGGACGGGTTCGTCAAGTTCAAGGCTGACGTCACGGACGTCGCTACAGGCGCCAAGGTGCGTGCATGCTGCCACAGCAGGGGACGTGCCCTTCCCATTCATGCCGTCCCTTTCCCCCAGCGTTCTTTCCATTCTCCCTCCCCTGCCTTTTCTCCTTCCACTGCTTCTGTCAGCCCCCATTCCACTCAACCCACCCGCTTTCCATGCAGCTGCCATGCATAGTGTTTGCGCGCGGCCCAGCAGTGGGCATCTTCATGCCGTCCCCTTCCCTATGCCTTTTCCCCTTCTCCTCCCGCTGCCCATTCTCCTTTGCCATTCTCCCTTCTGCCCCCATGCAGCTGCCAGGCACAGTGTTTGCACGCGGCCCAGCAGTGTTCATCTTCATGCTGCCAGCTTTCCCCCCTGCCGTTTCCCTACTCCCTCTGCCCCATTCTCCTTTCCACCCGCCATGCAGCTGCCAGGCATAGTGTTCGCACGTGGCCCAGCAGTGGGCATCTTCATGCTGCTGCGCGTGGCAGAGCCACAGCCACAGCCACAGACACAAGGGGACGGCCCACCCGAACCCCCCACTGACTATGTTGTTCTCACAGAACAGGTTCGCTGCACTCACTCAATCCCTCAATCACTCAATCACTCACTCACTCACTCACCCACTCACCCACTTATTCACTGTCATACCCAATTATCCACTCCTCAAACCTTTCCGCTTCTTCTCTCCCTTTTCTTCCCCCTCTTCCCACTCTCATTTCTCTCTCTCCATCTCTTCCCCTCTCCTCCTCTCCCACCCTCTCCCTCCCCCCCACCCCATCAGGCGCGGGTACCTGTGGGAAGAGTGCTGCTGGAGATGCCAGCTGGCATGCTGGACGGCAATCATGGCGAGTATGTCGGGACCGCAGCAAAGGAGGTTCGTTTCCCACATCCTCTTTTCTGCTCTGCGACTGCGGCTTTGAGACGCCTCAAAACTGGCTCTCATCAGTGCATCCGCCGCATCCCAACCATCCTATCCAGTTCCCACCAATGCTCACCCCTGATGCTCTCCCCCATGCTCCAATGCTTCATCCATGCACACACATCCACCCATGCATGCACCCATGGCAGGTGAAGGAGGAGACGGGCATCACAGTGCGCCATGACCATCTCATCAACCTCACCGCCTTCCTGGAACCTTCCACCGGACAACAGATGCTGCCTTCCCCGGTACAATGCTCTTTCTCCGTTCTTTATTCCTTCCTACCATTCCTTCTTTCTTTCCAGTGCTGCTTTCCTCCGTACAGGTCATGCTGTCCAGTCCAGCCCTGCCACGGGCCTCTCTGCTCGCCCTTCTACGGTACTTCAATCATGCAAGCCATTTCTCATCCTCTTCCCACTATACAGCTCTCCGGAGCGCTTCTGAGAAGCCCTTCATTGAAGCCCTTCATTGAAGCCCTTCATTGAAGCCCTTCATTGAAGCCCTTCATTGAAGCCCTTCATTGCAAGCAACTGAGCCCTTCTCCCCTCACCTACTGCCCTCCACCATTCACACGCAAACGGCCCACACTCCTCCCTCTCCCTCTTCTCTTCCCCTCCTTCCTCTACCTCTCTCGCCTATCCCAACAGGGTGGGTGCGACGAGGGCATTCTGCTCTTCCTCTATCGAGCCACCGTATCACCTGCTGTAAGTCACTCGATTTCACCACTGCTGCAGTTGTCTCAGAAACGCACGTGTGCCGTCTTCCCCCCTCCACTCCATCCCTCCCTTCACTCCCCCTCGTTCACTCCTCCATCCTCCTCCCTTCCACCCCTCAGCGCATAGCCAAGTTGCAGGGCCGGCAGACGGGGCTACGGCACGAGGGGGAGCCGGCACGAGGGGAGGCCGATCAAGGTGCACGTGCGGCCACTCTCCCCTTCATCCCGTCCCTCTCTGGTTAATCTCACTCCCTTCACCAACTCCCCCTTCCCTTCCAACCCCATCTCAGCGCATAGCCAAGCTACAGGGCCGGCAGACGGGGCTACGGCACGAGGGGGAGCTGATGAAGGTGCACGTGCGGCCTCTGGACTCCATCTGGCGCCAGTCCGCTGACTGCAAGGTGCTGGCGGCCGGCAAGAGGAGGAAGGCAAGAGGGGGAGGCCAAGAGAGGGCAGTGTGTGCAAGGTCCCCCTTCCCCTCTATCCCATCCGTCTTTCCTTGATCCCACCGCGCCCCCCCCCCCCCCCCCTCCCCCTCAAATCCCCACCTCAGCGGATAGCCAAGCTACAGGGCCGGCAGACGGGGCTACGGCACGAGGGGGAGCTGATCAAGGTGCACGTGCGGCCTCTGGACAGCATCTGGCGCCATTCCGCGGACTGCAAGGTGCTGGCGGCCGTGGCGCTGTATCAGAACGCTCTCAGGGAGGGGCTGCTGAGGGATGAGTTCCCTGCTGTGGAGGAGACCGATGGGGGCAGCAGCGATGGGGAGTGAAGTGAAAGTGAGGGAGGGCAAGAGGGGGGTGTGGTTCGGAGGTAGTGGGGATACTGCGAAAGGTGATGTAAAGGAAGGATGTGGATTTGAATGGCAGTCAGTGCTGTAGTTTGGTAGATGGGTAGGCATGCAATGCAAGGGGGATTGCATTGCAAGGTGCTGGCGGCTGTGGTGCTGTATCAGAACGCGCTGAGGGAGGGATTGCTGAAGGATGAGTTCCCTGCTGTGGAGGAGACCGATGGGGGCAGCAGCGACGGGGAGTGACGCGGAGGAGGTGGAGGGGAGGGGGGAAGAAGGGAAGTGAAAGAGGAAGGGTGATGGGACAGTGATTTGATTTCACACTGCGGGGCTGGGTTTGTCCACTGGTGGAGGCAATGGGGGATGCACACACACACAGCAGCCACCGCCAGAGCAGCAGCAGCTACAGCAGCAGCAAGCCTTCGTATCGCTAAGGCTCTTTTTGGTGCGGCTCAATACTAAATTTAACCAGAACCACGGCTTGAGGGAGGGTATAGGTCCTCGTCTGGCGGATACGGTAGATCCTAACGACAGTTGATGTCCCGGAATGGGTGTGGTGAGTGGCAGAGAATCGCTCTTCAAATGGCTGTCTCTCATCTCATGTTTGTTTATTTTCATGGTTGTGATTTAATTTGGAGTTAGAGATTCTCACAAAGGAACTGTACAATGTGAACTAGCATGTACAGCTGGGAACGGAAGTCTATACAGCATAGGAAAGGGCCTGAGTCTCACAACTCAAAGGGCAAGCGTAGACTGGGCTGCAGCAACTAGCACCTCCGCAGGGTGCAGGTATAGCAGATGTTGGGAGGTAACATATTTACGGCGGTGGTCGTGGGAAGAGGGCAGGGAAAAAGGGAGGGACTGGGGGAGAGGGTGCTGCTGCTGCTGCATCACTGCATTGGGCACGTCTCTGAAGCTCGTGCTCCAACTTGCAAGGTCTGCCCATCGCCGCACCTCAACAGCCCCGCCCATCACATGGCGCCGTGCTGCTTGGGCAGCTTGGAGGAGAGCGTGTTGCACACGATGTCACGGATGTGCGCGTTCACAAAGTACTGGCTCAGCTTGTCCACTGTCAGGAATTTCGCCCCCGCCACCAGCCGCACACACTGTGCTCATGAAAGAGGAGGGATGTAGGGGAAGGAGGGGTTGGTTGGAGGCAGGGGGAGAGGGAAAGAGGGAGATAGTGTGGGGGAAAAGCTGATGAACCTTCAATCCTCCCCTCGCCATTCAAACCTCAGAACAAAGAATCGAAGCCCCTTGTACCCCTGATCACCCACCCAACCAACCCCCAAAACATGGACCCCTTTCTTCCCAAACTCCGCACGAGCTTCCCTTCCGCCACTCTCCAAGTCCCCCTCCCAACCCCCCCCCCAACCTTCCCAAGTTACCGACCTTGTCTGAGCCGCACCAGCACGTGAAAGGCTGCTGCATCTCCCACTCGGACGAGGGGTAGAAGAAGGTGAGCTCGGCGCCCACAGGGATGGCCTGCAGCGCGCGCACTTCCATGGCGCCCACGCTCACCGCCACGTTCGGGTCGCAGCTGTGGTTCATGTAGACCAGGTCTGAGTTCAGCTCCAGGTGCCGCTGCGCACCGTACTGCACCGTGCTGTAGCTGCACGGCACATCCCAGGAGACGCCTGGCGGGGTGATGGGAAGGGGTGAGGCGTGGGGGGAGTGTGGGGGGAGGGTGAGGGGAGGTATGAGGGATGGGTGATGCATGGGGGATAGATGGATTATGGGGCGAATTAGGATTGCTTTTGTATTCTCTTAGTGTCTTTTGATTGCATGCCGCCTCCTTCTTTCTGTGGGAACGGTACCTGTCATGCTACCCCGCTAGCGAACCATATAAGTCAATAAGGCAGTGGTTATAATGGCCGTCTGACCATCGATTTTGGCGATCAGCTGTCCCTTCTGGAACGGCACCAGCGCCACCAGCTTGGCGCGCAGTGCCTTGCCGTCCGCGTCGTCCTCGGGCCGCACCACGCGCACCCTGTCCTCGTGATACACGAACTTCGCCGGCGCAGCCGTCGGAGGGGACGCAGTCGTGCCGATTTTACTAGGCGAATTAGTGGCGGCGGCGGCGGCGGCGGCGGCGGCGACGGCGGAGCCCACGCGCTTCAGGAGCGGCGATCCGGCGCTCCCGTTCTGCACGGCCGCCGGTTGCTGCGTGGTAGGCGGCGGTGGCACTTTCGCGTTCTGGGCGTCTTCCAGCGAGAGGAGATTCATGGCTGCGCGCGCCGCCGTGTCCGCCGAGTCGCCCAGACTCAGAGACACGAATCCGGCCGTCGCGGCATCGGCCGTCGCGTAGGATAATCCATCCGGAGCGGCGGCGCCGTTGGTGCCGTTGGCGGCGGCGCCACTGCTGTTCTTGCGGGGAGAGAGGTAGGACGATGCGTTTTTAGTAACATCGCCAGCCGCTGCTGCCTCCCGCCGAATCATCATCAGCGCAAGGGCGCTCGGGGAAGCCTTGCGGTGCGGAGACAGGCCCGCGGAGAGCGGGGAAGCGCCGGTGGCGGAAGAAGCCGGCGGAGGCGCGACGGCAGCCGTCGCGGAAGCCGCGGAGGCGGAAGCGGAAAGCGCAGCCGCAGCGATGAGATTTCCCGAGGCCTTGTAGGCCGGGTTTCCGCCAGGCTTGACTGTGGCGGGAGAGGAGAGGAACGTGCGACGGGGGGAATCGACACCCATGATGATTGCTGCGTGTGACTTGAGACGGATGTCGTGAGATCGAGGGAGATCCCTGGGATTCGCAGGCGGTGTGGGGAGCGAGCGCGGCGTGTGTGGGTTTTGCGTGGCAGAATAACGGGAGTCCGAGGTGACGGGATGGGCCTCGACGAGTGGAACGGAGACGGGTGATGGCTAGTTAGCGGCCTCGGGAATGGAGGTTGACAGAATGATCGGCACAGCAGAGAGATGGTGCTTGGGACGAAACCGTCGACAAGCTGGATTGCGAAGGGGTGACGAGGCTGAGAGCTTGGTGCAGAAAGATGCACGCTAGTAATTTCACGGCCAAACTCGGTTCAGGATTTTTTACTGTGGTTGGCAAAGTCGAATTGAATTTGAATGGGAAATAATGTGGGGCGCTATTTACACGAGCTTCGATCAGCCTGTGCGTTGCGAGGCAAGGCAGCGAGTTTGCTGCTTTGGATTGGTCCCTTGGGAATTGCGCGCCGCGATGTGTCATGTGGCAGGGTTGACACATGCGAGGCGCGCAAGCAGTTGAACTTCCAGCTGGCACTTCGGTTGATCTGCTGAAGGGCTGGTTGGAAAGTACGGGCTACCAGCGGTGTTACATAATTATCAGACATGACATCACACGCCTAAATCATATTGAAAGAATCAACCCAAGAAGAATCAACCCAAGAATCGTACACCTACGGTACGTGCATCTTGACACAAAACATGAGCGGAGTTTAAATAAATATTATTTCGATATCAAACTACGAAGACTCTTCTAAAGGTTGGAAGCGAGATACACGCAGGTCACTGAGTTGTCTGTCCAGGTCGCCATTTACCGAGTCCTGATGACCTGGTGCAATCACACCCACGTTCTCGCCCTCGATTTCCTCTCTGCATACAACGGAGAGGAGAGGAGCATACACATTATCACTTACACCATAACTCTGTAACCGAATAGTTGGTTGGAAAAATGGTGTTTTGTACAGCACAAGCGTGTGCAGGAGGTGAAGCAACTTGCCTGTGGCTTGTGTCCGCCCCTGAAGAATGCTGGGTCGAGAAGTCGATGCTGGAAACATCGTACTTGGACAGATCGTTGCTGCTGAGCACTCCGGCAGGGGTGCGTGTTGAATACCCCATGTTTCTCTGCATGCTCCACTCCACACCCTGTGTGCATGTGGGAGGAGGGAGCGGGGAGAGCGGTGAGGGGAGAAGGGAGAGGGGTGAGGGGATAGGGGGTAGGGGAGAGGGGATAGGGGGTAGGGGAGAGGGGAGATAGGAGAGGGATGGGACAGTGAGGGAGGTAAGGGGGAGGGAAACTCGCAAAGAAGTGCGGGAATGGGGAGGGGATGAAGGAGGAGCGGAAGGAGAGGAGACGAGTATGGGTAGCAAGGGAAGAGGGGAGGCAACTGGGGGGACGAGCAGCACTCACAGCAGTGTAAGCGCTCTTGTAATGCCTGACGTGGCTCTTGAGGCGCTTGGGCTTGGGCATGGGAGCAATGGGAGTGGTGTGCTCATCGCTGTCCTCAGCATGGCCATGGCGGGCGTGCCTGCCAGTGGGGGGTGGGGGAAGCAGTTATGGAAGCAGCAGAGGGTGGTGTGGGTGTGGGGTTGGAAGTGGGCAAGGGAGCAATGGAGGTGGTGTGCTCATCACATGCCTGCGCACAGGGAGTGGGGGGAAAGGGGCGCAGCAGAGGGTGGGTGTGAGTGTGGGTGAGGTGGGGGTGGGGGTGGGGGTGGGGTTGGGGATGAGCCCACGGAATGAAGCGGGTGAAAGTGCAAGCGTGGCTGCTCAAATGATACCACAATTACCCTATCTTTCCATGCACAGTCGAGAATAGGGTAAGTGGCAGGAGCGAGGGTAGAAGCGATGGAAGCAAGCAGGCCTACAAAGCCAAGCAGAACAAGCCTGGGGCGAAGGGATGCACGAGAAACACACGGGCAAGTCAGGGAGCAAAGGCACGGAAGGGCAAGGAAGGCGGAAGGGGTGCAAGGAAAGTGCAAGGGTTGCAGGGGCGCACTGGAAGGCCTTGAGGCCACGGTAGACGAGCAGCACGACGTATATGAGGCATGCCCCACACGCCGCCACGACGTAGAGCAGGAAGAGCCCCCAGAAGGAGTCCGGGCCCAGCCGGATTGACTGCAGTGACGGCCCGCTGCTGCACGTGCCCCGACCCTGGAGGGGAGAGGAGAGAGGCGGGGGGAGAGAGGAGAGGGGAGAGCGGAGAGGGCAGAGGAGTGAGAGGGGTGGGAGGTGGAGGGGTAAAAGTTTTACAGCAGAAGACGCGTCTAGCGTCTTAGACGCTGGCGTGTAGACGCAACGTAAAACAAGAGGCCCCAGGCGGATGGACTGCAGTCATGGCGCGCTGCTGCACGTGTCACGGCCCTGGATGGGAGAGAGGAGAGGAGAGGGGGGGAGAGAGGAGGGGAACGACCGGAGAGTGGAGAGGGGAGAGGGCAGAGGAGTAAGAAGGGTGGGAGGGTGAGGGGTGAGCAATCGGGGAAACGGTGCAAGATTTGGAAGGAAGTATGCAAGGGGAGTCGGTGAGAGGCAGTGATGGAGGGATGGACAGAGCGAGAAGCGAGAGTATAGAGGGAGAAGGGGAAGAAGAGGGAAGATGAGAGGAGGAGGGATTCACGTGCAGCCAGAGGTCGTGCAGCGACTGCAGCTGGCCGTTCTGTGCAAGCGCCTCTATGGCGATGGACATGTCGTTGGCCAGTGATGAGCCCTTCTGAAACGCCTGGTAACATGGCCGCATGGCACACCATGGCATCGGAGCATTGCCAGCAGGGTTTTGCACGGGGGAGGGGGGAGGGAGAGAGAGGAGCAGAGAGTAGCAGACGGCGACTCGGGAATCAGAAGCGCGAGTAATGGAGCCTGAGGCAGTGTAGAGAGGGATTTGAGACACAGCGCAGGCAATACCGCAGTAGGGTCGGTTGCATCGAACCTTACTATATCACTAAGCTGAATTACAATCATTCTGGTGCTGAGCTCAGCACAACGGTGGTCAGGTTCAGAGTACTAAAGGGGAGGAGAGAGATGTGGACATGGAGGGCAGGGGGTGAGGCCGGGGTACGCGGTGGGGGCGCGAAGGGGTACGGGACGAAGGGAGGGAATGGGGGAAAAGGCAGGAGAGGGCAAGTGGGGAGACTGGTGGCGATTTAAGCAGAAGAAAAGAAGGGAGTACGGGGGGAGTGCACAAAAAAGAAGAGAGGAGGAAAGAATAACGGCAGGTTAAGGCAGGTTGGTGGGGAGTGGAGTGGAGAGGAGCGGGGAGGAGGTGCCGGCAGGGGGAGAGAGAGAGGAGGGACTAACAAAGCCGAGGTTGAAGGTAGCAAAGGCGTGGGTGGGTTTGCTGTAGGCGCAGTAGTCGGAGAGGAAGATGTCGACGTAGGGCTCCTCGTCCACCATCGCCACCACGTCCGTGCGGTTCAACGCCCCGTCCACCTCCGCCTCGTCTGACAGCGCCACCAGCCGCGACTGTGTGCGGGGGGGGGGGGGGGGGGGAGAGGGTGATTGGGGTGGGGTGCCGGGAGGTGTGGGGAGGCAGCATGAGAGTTGTTCAGCGCCCTGTCGACCTCCGCCTCGTCTGCTAGCGCCAGCAGCCGCGACTGTGGAGAGGCGGAAGGTGGAAGCCAATGAGTTGAGGGGTAAGGGGTGCGGTGGGGAAGCGTGAAGAGGCATGGTAAGAGAGCGTGTGAGTTGCTCAGCGCGCCGTCCACAACGCGTGAATACTGCATCATCGAAACACCACCTCTCCCCCCCCTCTTGTTTCTTGTTGATCTCCAAGCCAAAGTCCCCATGCGTTTCCCTTTCTCTCCCTCTCCGTCGCCCCTCTCTCTCTCCCGCGGCCTCACCTCGTTGATCCCCACGCCTCGGAGGTATTCAAAGGAGAAGGACCCGCGCTGGTACCCCACTGCATCGTTTGTCACCACCAGCGATTGGAAGTCCTGCCGTGGTCGGATGGACACATGGCGCGGTGTGGTGTGGCGTGGTTTGGAAAGTCAAAGGTATGTAGGGAGAGAGGGGATATGGACAAAACATGGAGAGATCAGAAGACCATACCCATACCCGCATTTATAAAAAGGACCGTTTGAGAGCAGAGGACAGAATCCCATGGGCAAAATTCGAAACTTCAAAATCCACATGCAAGTACGACACAGAAGCACGAGTGCATACATCCAGAGCAGGCACGGAGATGGAGAGGATAAGAGCAGCAGTAGCAGCAGCAGCAGCAGCAGCAGCAGTGGCGGCGGCGGCAGCGGCAGCAGCAGCAGCAGCAGCAGCGGCGGCGGCAGCGGCGGTGGCGGCGGCGGCGGCAGCGGCGGCGGCGGCGGCGGAAGCAGTGAAGGCGCACCTGGATGGTGGGTTCGGACTGGCTGACAGTGAGCACGGAGGAGAGACTGGCAGTGTAGGCGGAGGAGATGACAAAGACCACGAACAGCCACACTATCACCACTATACGCCCCAGCGTCGTCTTCACGTTCTCCTCTGATGAGATGGGCAGAGGGGAAGAGGGGGGGGAGGGGAGAGATTGAGACGGGGAGAGGGGGAGTGGGGGAGAAGGGGGGGTTGGAGGGTGGGGGAGTTGGGAGGGTGGAGGAGTGGGTGTAGATCAAAACACACAGTTGCGAGCTGACGAGTTCTCTCTGATATATAAGCATCGCTGAAAGCTGAGACACAATTTCTGAGTACGCAGCATGGAGACGAATTCGGGCTTAGGTTTAGAGTCGGAACTTTGGGTTTGCAGGTTGAGGAGGAAGCGGAGAACAGTGTGCGGGAGAGCTTACCTTGGGAGAAGGTCATCGTGGAAAAGGAGAACCTGCACACACACACATGCATGCACACACGCAGACGCACACACACACGCACACACACACACCACCCCCCTCCCAACAAACACACACACATACACACACCCACACCCACACACAGACACCCACACCCACACACAGACACCCACACCCACGAACACACTCACACCCACACCCACCCCCACACACACACTCACACACACCCACACACATACTCACTCCAACCCTTCCCACACACACACACACGCCACAAGGCAGATGCGAACAGATGTGAGTGACAAAAGGGCAGTTCGCACATAAGGCACACACGCTGCCACACTGCAGGCGCGATCTGTGAGTCCCACCCACCCACCCTCTCTCTCCTGTGAATCTTCGCAGCATGGAACTCCTCCCCTCATTTCTGCCAACCTGCTCCCACCCTTCCACTCGTCCTCCCCACCGTCTCCCCTACCCAACCCTACCGCCCTATCTCTCCCCATCCTCCCGCCCTCCTATCCCCCCGTCTCCCTCCCCTCCCCTCCCTTCCCCTCCCCACGCACCACACACTAGTGGCGAGCTGCTGGTGCAGCTCGTCCCCCCATTCCTGCACAGCCTACCTTTCCCTCCCATCCTTCCCAACCACCCCTTTCCTTCTCCCTCCTTCCCCGCACGCACCACACACTAGTGGCGAGCTGCTGGTGCAGCTTGCCGCCAAAGTCGTCGTTCTGCAGGTGCTCGAGGAACCAGACGACGAGCGCCGTGTAGAAGAAGGAGAAGTAGAGCAGCACCCACATGCCCGGGGTGAACGGCCGGAAGAACGCCCACGTGTCCGGTGGCGCTTGCTGCACCGGGACGATCATTGTCAGCCCTGATGCCTGGAGGTGGGGGAGGAGAAGGGGATGGGATGGGATGGGATGGGATGGGATGGGATGGGATGGGGAGAGGGGGAAGGGGTGTGGTGGGGCCTGCTGTACTGGCACTATCATTGTCAGCCCTGATGCCTGGCGGTGGGGGAGGAGAGGAGGATGGGATGGGGAGAGGGGGATGGGATGGGGAGAGGGGGATGAGAAGAGGAGAGGGGGACAGGAAGGAGAGAGGGAGAAAGGAAGGGGATATGGGGAGAGGAAGGGGATAGGGACAGAGGAGGAGGGGGTGAAGAACAGGGGGAGCAGGTGGGAGCAAATGAATACAGGAGGAAATGCACAAGGAAAAGCTTATCTCTGAGATATTTCTCAAAGGAAGCAGCGCAAACAGCATATGCGAGCGGGCGGAAGGCAGCAGGAGCACTTGCCTCGAAGGGCTGGGTGAATTCGACTAGCTGGGCTCGCTGCGCTGTGATGGTGATATCCCCCACTGCTGCATCGTACGTCTGGTGGCGGGCACACACACACAGGTGTAGAGGGGGCACAGGAGGGCAGGGGGGCAGGTGGACAGGGGGCAGGTGGGAAGTGGAGCGGGGGGACAGGGTGAAGAGAAGAGTAGGTGGACGAATGGGTAAAGGGCCAGGTGGGAAGGAGGCGATGATCGGGAGATGGTGAGGGGAAACGAAGCCAACAAGTGATGGCTTGGATGGATGATAACTAATGCTTGCTGAAAGGAAAGGCATAACCAGGAATGGTCAGTGACATACAAACACTGAAACGGGAAAATAATGCGTTAAGCTGGTAAAGAGTGTGGAAGAGATTTTTTGCGGAGGCTCAGAAAGAGAGGGGAAATGAACTTGCCTAACCTGGGACTGAGTGAGGAACATTACCTAAGCACCAAAATCAACCCACTCTTCTGTTCAACCACCCCCACTCCCACCCCCACACCCACACCTACACCCACACACACTTCACAATCCCGCCACCGCACGCACCTTGTTGGCAACAGCAGCGACCATGGTGTCATAGTTAGGATCACTCTGGCCGTCCCCAAATGCCACAAACTGGTACTGCAGGTTGTATGGCAGCAGCGCCACAGCCGCCTTAAACACGTCGATGCAGAACCCGGAGAACTTCTCGTTGGAGCGAGAGAGGTTGGAGAGTGCATCGCCCACGAATACAAACTGGTGGTAGCCCTGGTGGCGGCGGGAGGCAAGAGTGGGGTTGTGGTGGGTGGCGGGGGTGTGGCAAAAGCAGGCTTTCAGGGTTTGATGTGCCACGGCCGCCTTGAACACGTCGATGCAGAACCCGGAGAACTTCTCGTTGGAGCGAGAGAGGTTGGAGAGCGCATCGCCCACAAACACAAACTGGTGGTAGCCCTGGTGGGTTTCGGGAGGCAGGAGTAGGGTTGTGCGTGGTAGGGTGGGGTGGGGGAGTGGAGGAGCAGGATTTGAGGGTTTGATACGGCTCAAAGGAGGAGTTGGAGAGTGCATCGCCCACAAACACAAACTGGTGGTAGCCCTGGTGGCGGCGGGGGTCAGGACAGGAGCAGGGTTGTTGTGGGGGGTGGGGTTGGGGTGTGGCAAAAGCAAGCTTTGAGGGTTTGATATGGCTTGAAGGAGCGCGAGAGGTTAGAGAGTGCATCGCCCACAAACACAAACTGGTGGTAGCCCTGGTGGCGGTGGTGGGTGGGAGTCAAGATAGGGTTGTGGATGGTGGGGTTGGGGGTGTGGACGAATCAGATTTCAGGGCTTGATAGGGCTTTAAGAGGGCGTAGAGAGGGAGTTGAACAGGGCGTCAGTCACCCGCAAACACTACCTGGGAGTATCCCTGGTGGGAGTCAGGACAGGAGTAGGGCTGTGCATGGTGTGGGGGCGGTTGTGGTGGCGAATGCAGAGAGAGGTGTGTGGAGAAGCAGGCTTTAGGGGGGTTGGTTGATTGACATGGCTTCAAGGAGAGGGAGTTGGGACAGGGCGTATTGGAGGCACTGGCAGGTATATTGGAGCCACTTTGAGAATTCTCGAGGTAGCCCTCGCCGGGTGCAGATTTATGGTGGCGGTGGTGAGTAGAGTTGCGTGTGAGTGGTGGGTTGTGGGTTATGCACTGTGGGTTGTGGGTTATGCACTGTGGGTTGTGGGTTATGCACTGTGGGTTGTGGGTTATGCACTGTGGGTTGTGGGTTATGCACTGTGGGTTGTGGGTGCAAAGGCAAGAAGGCAAAAGGGCACTAGGCACGAAGCAGAGAGACTTCCCAGTGAAGGGATGAGACGCCCTACCACACACACACACACACACACACACACACACACACCCCGCACAAGTCTGCTTTGAGCAGAGCTGCAGCACTTGCCAGCTTTCCAAATTGTCAGCATAATAGCTTCAATTGCTGCCCAAGAGAGATTTGTGATGAAAGCCTTACCCGCTTGACAGGCACTGCGATCTGCAGCGGTGCAGAGCTCTTTGGGAAGGAGCCTACTGGCACCTACAGGCAGGGGGACGGGGGGAACGGGAGGAACGGGGGGAACGGGGGGAACGGGGGGAGTGGTCGGGTTGGTGGGGGAAAGGGCGGAAAGTAGGGGGTAAGGGAAATGGGTGGAACGGGGGCAACATAGAACTTCAAACTGCATTCTGACTTACTAAAAAAGACATGAGAGCAGAGCGGGTGAAACACACAATGGGCAGACAGGGAGTCATGAGAGGAAAAGGAAGGTTGGGAAAGAGCAGCTGGGAGAGGGGATGGGGAGGGTGTGAGGGGGTGGGGGAGGGAATAACATAATTTTAAGACAGTTCAGTGCAATGTGTGGCAGGGGCTTGCGCAGGCACTGGTGGGGTTTGAAGAGCATCCATGCATCCATCCATGCACCCATCCACCCATGCACCCAGACATCCATGCACCCATGCATCCACTCATGCACCCATGCACCCATGCATCCACCCATCCACCCATGCACCCATGCACCCATGCACCCATGCACCCATGCATCCACCCATGCACCCATGCACCCATGCATCCACCCATGCACCCATGCACCCATGCATCCACCCATGCACCCATGCACCCATGCATCCATCCATCCATGCATCCATACCTCGGTCTTGGTCCCCCCCGGCCACACCACGTCTCGCAGCACACCAGCACTGCCCACAGACGTGCCAACCCCATCCGGCCCTGCTTGCGTGCTGCTCGCCTTCACTGCTGCAAGCTGAGGCACGCAGGGGACGGACAGAGAATTAGATCATCAACTAGCAAAAAGAGGGAGAACGGGAAGAGGGGATACATTGTTGGTTTGACTTTGAAACCTACCAAAAGCATGCTGCAAGATGGGTGACAGAAGGGGTTGGCGGTGCAAGAAATGGAGATGAGGAGGAAAAACGGGAGCAAAGAGACTCACCGCTGCTGCTTGGGTTGCGAGCTTCCTGGAAACAAGCAGTTGAGCCATCTGCATTATTGTAGCATTCAAACAAGCACAGACGAATATTTACATGGAAAACAACAGGGGAATGGCCGGGTCGAGAAAAGAGAAGAAGAAGAAGAAAAAAAGTGAATGGACCTCTTCCTGTGTATTGAAACGGACACCTGCTGCTGCTGGTGCTGGCGCTGCTGCTAATCACCGGCTAGGTGGCGTGGCAGCATCCCTTCTTTTGAGACATGTTACAAGTTACCTCACCTGTTCGATAGACACGAGGCCTTGGGCAGCAGTAGCGGGCGATGCAGTGGCGTTGGAGGAGGAGGAGGAGGAGGAGGAGGAGGAGGAAGGTGAAGCAGTTGAAGTACTGGCGTTCCCAGCAGCACCAGCACCAGGCGAGGGTGCAGCAGCAGCAGCAGCAGGAGAAGGAGCAGGAGCAGGAGCAGGAGAGGCGGCGTTGGGAGCAGCAGGAGCAGCAGCGGTGGTGTTGGTGGAAGAAGTGGTGTTGGCAGGAGTGGTAGTAGCGGTGGTGTTGCTGGTGTTGGCGCGGTAATGATAGAACCCGATAGTGCGGATGCCGTATTGGATGTTGGCAATGCGGAAGAACTGCTCCTGCAGGTCGCCAGATGATGTAAACGACACTCTGATGAGGAGAGAGGGGGGGTGGGTGGCAGGGCGTGGGGATGGGGGTGGGAATGGGAGATGATGTTTTGGATGTCTCAAAAATGGAAAGAACTGCTCTTGCAGCGGTAGAGAGGGATGGGAAGAGATGGGAGAGTCTGAGAAAAGGAGAAACCAGAGTGGGATGAGCAGGGAGGAGTAGAAACAGGGAGGGATACGGCGGGAGAGGAGACGACGATGGGAAATAGTACATAGGAGGAGCGAGGAAACGGGCCCAGAATATGGAAAAGGACGCGGCAAGGTGCAGGTGGGGTGGGTTGTGGACGGGTGGGGTGGAGAGGGGTGGGGTGAAGTGGGGTGAAGCGGGGTGAAGTGGGATGAAGGGGTAAGTGGTGTAGAGTAACCATGAGGTGAGTGAGGTTGGAGTTGGACTCACTCTCCTGTGACACCGCTCATGTTGCTTGAAAGGATGGACGCGAGAAGAGCATCACCACCTGCAGCAGAGCAGCACACCGTACAAACAAACAACAATCACGCCATTGCCAACACACCGTAAATAATGCCATGCCATTGCCAATGCCAAGCATGCCAATGCGGCATGCCCCAGCTTCTGACACGCCTGATACGGGGCTCCCTCCCTCCATCTGAGCCGTCTTAAGAGCTGTTCGAGAATCATTAAAGCCACGGTGAAATTCCTGGCTGAGCACAACTCGCCATGCTTCAATTCAAGCACACACCACCTTGGTGACTTATGAGTCGGCTCAAAAGACAAATCGCAGTGCTTCATTTCATGCACCCACCTTGCCGAATCTGCAGCTGCTGAAACCCCTCAATGACCCCCCCGGCAGCAGCAGCGGGCGGAGCAGGAGGAGCAGGAGAGGAGGAGGAGTTGCCTTGGGAAGGGGGGGAAGGAGACGGGGGCGGGGGCGGCGCGGGGGGGTGGAGAAGCGTGTCGAGGTGAGCAGCGGCAAAGAGCTTCACTGCATCGTACGCGTACAAGGCCTGCCGGTACCCCTCTGCTTCGCTCTGTCAGGAAGGCGGGTGAAAAGGAGGAAGGAGTAGCAGGAGAAAATTGCTTTCTTTTTGTTTGTGGGGGAGAAGGGGGGGAGGGGTGGTTTCGTGTACAGTGCCTGGCGATATGCCTCCGCCTTGTTCCGTGAGAAGAAGGGGTTAGGGGCGGGGAACCTTGGAACGGAGGGCACGGGCTTGTCTGCGGTTTGTCTGCGGGAACAGGAGCAGGAGACACATTTCACAAGAAAGGCGAGATCTACGTGAAGGAAGCAACGAAGGGAAAGCGAGATGCTGAGACAATCTAAGAGAGAGAGAGCTTACTCTCCTGCACAGTCAGGCGAAGCAGACATAGACATATAGGCGTAGCACAGCACACTCACGAGCAGCAGAGAGGGAGAGAGCTTGGCCACGCACGCCAGAGATGGCCTTGCCTTGACAGTGTCGTCGCGATGCGACCTTTGAGGCGCCTCAAAAGTAGTGCACTTACGAGCAGCAGGGAGGGGGAGAGCTTGGCGACGCCAGAGATGGCCTTGACAGTGTCGTCGCGATGCGGTGTGGGCACGTCAAAAGGCAGCGTGCCTATCATGCCCTGTTGTGTACAAGCCACACACAAGCCACACACCAAGGCACACACCAGCCACACACCAGCCACACACCAGCAACACACCAGCCACACACCAGCAACACACCAGCCACACACCAACCACACACCAGCCACACGCAAGCCACACACCAGCAACACACCAGCCACACACCAGCCACACACCAGCCACACGCAAGCCGCCCATACCACAGCAGGGAGAGAGCAAGGAGTTAACTGCTGTTTATTCTGTTTAGGTGACTCAAGAGTACATGTGAAGTGAAAGGGCAGCGTGACTACCTTGTCCTACCCCCGCCGACACGCCGCGGTGAGCAGAGAGACATTGGAGAACGGGGGTAAGTCAAGGGGAAGTGGGAACTGTGTGGGAGCGAAGTGCACGTATATGACACTGACAAGAAACAGGGAGGTGGGACGGTTGGGTGGGAGGGAGACATTGGAGGACGGGGGAACGTGTAAGGGAAGGGGGAGTGGGAAGTGTGGTGTGGGGGAATGAAGTGCACATTGAGATGAACCTGGAAAGGAAACAGGGAGATTGGAGACGACGGTAGGGACTAAAGGCAATGTAGTGGAAATGAGAGAATTGTTCTGGCGTGTAAGACATGAGCCCCACAGCTCACGCCCCATGCCCCCATGCCCCATGCTCCCCTGCCCCATGCCCCATGCCCCACGCCCCACGCCCCACGCACCATGCACCATGCCCCACGCCCCCCTGCCCCATGCCCCATGCCCCACGCCCCAAGCACCATGCCCCATGCCCCATGCCCCACGCCCCAAGCACCATGCCCCATGCCCCCTGCCCCATGCCCCCTGCCCCATCCCATGCCCCATGTCCCATGCCCCCACACCCCTTGCCCCCAGCAGGCACCTCGCAGGAGGCCTGGGTACTGGAGAGGCGCGGCTCAGCAGCCAGCAGAGACATCACACCCGCCGTCGCGATCCACACATACCCCTCCGTGAACAGCCCCAGCTGCGACGCTGCCCAGGGAAGGGGCGCAAGAGAGGGGTGGGGGACGGAAGGGAAGGAAGGGGTGGGCTCAGCAGCCAGCAGAGACATCACACCCGCACATACCTCTCTGTGAAGTGAACAGCCCCAGCTGTGATGCTGCCCAGGGAGAGAGGGGGGGAAGGAAGGGAGGAGGACGGGGAGGAAGGGAGAAGGACGGGGAGAGGGGGAGAAAGCGGGAATGGGGAGAAGGGTGGGAGGGGAAGGGCTGAAGGCTTGTTGAGCAGGTGAAGCTTAATCATAGAGGCTCCCTCACCAAAGGCACCTGCTCTCCACCTCCCACCCGCCCTAGCATTCACCTGCCCTGCCTCCCAACCCCTACTCCCCCCTGCCCTTCCTTCCCTGACTTCCCTGGCCTCCTTTGGGTAGTCAGTTGCTGCACGCACCGGTCTTGAGCAGCAGGCGGATGGTGGGTTCGTTCTGCAGGTGCAGCACAAACACAGACCCCTGCACCGACCGCACCTGCTCCCCCTCCCACCCGCCCTAGCATTCACCTGCCCTACCTTCAACCTCAATCTGCCCTCCCTCCCTCCCACCTGCCCTGCCTCCCTCCCACCTGCTCCGCTTTCCCTCTGAAATCCCTGTTCCTTTGCGTAAGTTGCTCTTCTATGCTCACCGGTTTTGAGCAGGAGGCGGATGGTGGGTTCGTTCTGCAGGTGCAGCACAAACACCGACGCCTCCACCGACCGCACCTGCTCCCCCTCCCACCCGCTGCCTGCCCTGGCATTCACCTGCCCAACTTTTCCCCTGCCTGACTTCCCACCTGCATTGCCTCCCCCTGCCCTGCCTCACACCTGATCCGACTCCCCCTCCCTGGCCTCCCACCTGCTGCACCACACTCACCGGTCTTGAGCAGGAGGCGGATGGTGGGTTCGTTCTGCAGGTGCAGCACGAAGACAGACGCCTCCACCGACCGCACCTGCAGCAGCGCCTTCATCACATCTTCCACGGCGCTCACCCCACTGTCAAACTGCCACGACGCCACCACACGTGCCGTGCCCTGGGGAATGGGGAAGGGGGACGGCCGGGCAGAAAGGCGGAACGGCAGAAGGGCGGAGGGGCAGAAGGGCGGAAGGGTGGGAGAAAGGGGGGGGCAGGAGAAAGGACGCGGGCGTGCAGGGGTGAGGAGATGATTGGCCTTCATCACGTCCTCCACCGCGCTCACCCCGCTGTCAAACTGCCACGACGCCATCACACGCGCCATGCCCTGGGGATTCGAGGAGGGGGGGAAGGGTGGGTATGCCGAGTGAGGAGGGGACGGAGAAGGTGACGCAGAGACAAACAAGAAGAAAGAAATGCTGGTAGGCCCCCCCAGCAACCGCGTTCGCCAACCCTTTGAAATTGCTCAATCTGGATTGACAGGCACTGACCCGCTGTTGCAGAAGGCGTGTGAGGGTCTGGAAGCCGTTCCATGCGCTGTCGGTGCTCTCAAACAGCGCCACCACTTGCGTCCAGTTGTAATATGATATGATGTCTGCATGTGCGGCGGAATCACAGAGACCATGGCAGGCACATGGTACATACAAGAGCAGAAACAGCATGGCAGCATGTGACCATACAAAACAGTAATCGGCCGTTATATGATGGGCTAGGAAGAGAGAAGGCAATAGCAGCAGCACTGCCTGCCACGGAAACAGCACTCTCAGAACCTACTTCTGTTGCTCGCTTCTGAGCACACACTCATGCGCCCTTCACGTTGCACGACAAGCTCACAAAAGCAGGCAGGCAGCTTTGCTCGAGACATAGACCCACCAGGTGAGCCTCACTGACCAACAACACTCACTTTCTAGCCGACTCACTGGCTGACTGATTGGCTGACTGACCCACCTGAGACAGCAGTCATCTGCGCCTGGTCGTCGTAGTGCATGCGCACAAAATAGGGCAGCTGTGCCTTGGCGTTCAGCAGCGAAGGGCCCGCGTGCCATTGTAGCGAGGTGACTTTTGAGCCAACCCACCTGAGACAGCAGTCATCTGCGCCTGGTCGTCGTAGTGCATGCGCACAAAGTAGGGCAGCTGTGCATTCGCGTTCAGCAGCGGGTCTGACGCCGCGTACGACAGCAGAGGCACCTGCAGCACCGGGCGAGCAGAGGGAGCGAGCGAGACATGAATAACTTTTGCTTTTCAATGTCTAACAGTTGCTGTAAGACGCTGGAAGGGACTGAGGAGGCATCTACACAAGGTGGAGTGGAGCAGTGGCATGCAGATACAGTACACAAGTGTGTGTTTCGTTTGACGCAACTTACGATGACCTGCAACAGGGCAGCAGGTGGCGCCTGGACTTAAGACATGCACCTGCACAGCAGGTCGCACCTGGACAGCAGGTCGCACCTGGACAGCAGGTCGCACCTGCACAGCAGGTCGCACCTGCACAGCAGGTCGCACCTGCACAGCAGGTCGCACCTGCACAGCAGGTCGCACCTGCACAGCAGGTCGCACCTGCACAGCAGGTCGCACCTGCACAGCAGGTCGCACCTGCACAGCAGGTCGCACCTGCACAGCAGGTCGCACCTGCACAGCAGGTCGCACCTGCACAGCAGGTCGCACCTGCACAGCAGGTCGCACCTGGACAGCAGGTCGCACCTGGACAGCAGGTCGCACCTGGACAGCAGGTCGCACCTGGACAGCAGGTCGCACCTGGACAGCAGAGGCGATGGGTCCCACAATGGAGGCCTGGAGCGACGTGGGTGGCCCTAGCAGCACGTCTGGGTGTGGCGCTGTCAGAAGCAGCTGCAAGGCTGGAGCAGCAGAGAGACAAGCGGAACACACAGGTGGAATTCAAGTCACACAATTCCACGCCAGTTCGTCCTGCAGCAAGATAACCCCAAGAAAATCACATCCCAGAGCGATTAATCTCAAGAAGCAATTTGACTACACTTTTAAGACACCTCGACAATCCCAAGACACCACGATAATCCCAAGGCACCACGACAACCCAAGGCACCATGACAATCCCAAGGGCCAGCAGCACTCTTACCTGCAGCCTCGGCCTGGAAGGGGTCCGAGTCACTGGCGTTAGCCATGCGCAGCACTATCCGCACACGGGTCGCCGCCTCCACCTCCCTCACCGCCCTCTCAATCGCTGAAGTGGGGAGCGAGGCGAGAGAATGGGGGGAAAGAGGAGGTGAAGCGAGTGGGGTTGGGAGGGGGGGAGAAAGGAGAGGGTGAAAGATAGATCAAGGCTGGTTATGAAGAAGAGTGGCGTCGGAATGTTAACCATCTGCAGCACAGGGGTCGCCGTTTGCATCTTCCTCATCGTCTTCTCCTCTCTGCTGCTGCAGAAGGGTGGTGACGGCAAACGAGCGAGCGACTGATGGTGATGCACGAAGGGTGAGCGAGAAGCGACTGTTCTAGAAAGGAGAATAGCACCTCGTTTACGAGTTTAGAAGGAGAAAAGGAAGGGGTTTTTTTTCCTGGCAACGGACAATAGACCTCCTCATAAAGTTGGTCGCGAAGTCGTGGCGAACGTTCAAATAATTCGCTGGAAATGGAGAAGCGCGAGGCGAGAAGCGAGACGAGAGAAGAGAGAAGAAAGGAGGAAGCAGGGAGAAGAGAGAAGCGAGGCAAACCCTATAAACACTAAAGACAACCACACGCCTACCGCGCCCAACGAAGGACTTCAGTTCGACAAAGGGAGTGAGAGTCTCAGCACCATCGCACCTTAAGCCGTGATAAGCGTCAGGCATGTCGACTGGGCGAGAAGCAAAATTAATAAATAAACAGAAACTCATGAGAATCGTACCTGAATAGAGGAGGTGAGAAACTCAGCAGAATCGCACCTGAGGCAATGAGAAGCCCTGACGGAGTTCCCAGGCTTAACAAGCACCCTATCACGGGAGCCTCTTTTCTTTTTCCGCGCCTAGCGGCGGCTGCGGCGCCCATTGCTGCGGCATACGCGACAGACACATCCGGGAGGGACGTTGCCTGGGCTTCCACTAACGAGCGGACGTTTCGAGACGGATTCTGTAACGGAATATCAGAAGAACTCTTTAGAGCATCTACATTTCTGTAGGGAGTCCGCTTGAGACTTCCTTGAACGCCAGTGCCTTCAGACAGTCCCTCGTTGAGTAACGCGTCAGTATCGCTCCTATCTCCGCCTCCGCTGTCGCCCCCGCTGCTACTGCTGCTAAAGCTGCTACCGCTGGCGGTGGTGCTATCGCGAGCAATGCTACTGTCGTGTGAATATAGCTCTTCTAGTCTCTGCCATTGCGGATGAGCAGGAACCTCGTCGGCTTTTGCTGGACGCGAGAATGCTGGAAGCTCATTCGGCGGGAACGACGGTCGCAAAGGAGAATGTAACGTGGAAAATTCATGACTTTCTGTAGCGCTGAGAGGCTGTGCTCCGTCCTTTGAGAACGTTACGTGCGCTCGCGGAAGTGGGGAGAATAAGAAAACGAGGAGAGAAGTCACGCAGAGCCGGAGGCGCAGACCGCGGCGGGAGAACGGGGAAGGGGAATGTAACCATGGCTGACCGTGCGGTGATCTCGTGAATGGTTCCGCCATGGTATGCGCTCGCAAGATAAGAGTTATCTTGGCGTTACTGCGGGCGGATTGAAGGGGACACAGTCTATAATTACGAGTGACGCAGGTGATTTAGTAAGCTATGACTGTAGGCAACTCCATCAGGTAAAACTCCAGAACCGCGAAACTGGTACTCTGAGACAAGGGAAGTGCACGCCACCGCAGCGAGCCGCATAAATAAGTCACGCGACGTTAGTCAGTCGCGCGACACGCCAACCTTTGAATTGAAGCTACTTTTTGCGGGTTGTGCAAAAGAGGTGTTGTGGAAGGTCGCGGGCGGTGGTGTGGGCCTGATGGCATGGCACAGTGAAACACACGAACGGATACTGTGAGGAGGCAACGGGACAAAAGAACACCATCGAAGGTGGGGGGAAAGGGAGGGATGATGACAGCAGTCTGCAGAAGGTGGAGGATGTGTTTTGTAAACAGTGGAGCTTGTGCAGAAGGGTTGACCACGATCAGGGTCTGCGTTGACAAGGCTAGCACCCTGTTTCGACTGAAATAAAAAGGCTGTTCCCTGAGAAGCCCTAATCTCATAACTGCATTATCCGCCGATTTTTGTTTTCAATTTATATTCTTGCCTGGAGGCCTTGATTGATATTGGAGTTGGGATAGTTTGAAGACTCGACATGTTCAAACCAAGTTGTGATTCCACACCCTACCAAACTGGGCTCGCACCACTTAAAGCTCCAGTATACATTTGTCAGCGGGGTTTAGGGTTTGTATAGTGTGCCTCACAGGTTTGGGGCAACTTTTCAAGTTCCTAAGGATTTCGAACCCCTCCTTACAAATGTATACCGGAGCTTTAAGCACATTTGACGGACGCGCGGATCCTTTGAGGTTCCGTACCCCGTTCGGAACTGAAATCCAGGTTGTCCCCGTTGGAGAACCTACTTACGAATAGAAACAGAAACATTGCACTGAAAGTTGATTTTCCAGCAAATCTGGCCAATGATAAGGTGTGTTCCGCCCTATTTTAAATTCATGAAGGCTTTCTAGAATCTTGCAGTGGGTGGGACTCAACCAAGCAAGAAAGATCTTCCCGTTCTTTTATGTCTTTCGAGCACCTCTCTTGCAGCCCAGTTTCAGAAACAAAGCAAATGTTTCACTCTGCTCCTATTTCAGACGTGCACTACTGAACGACTGAGGTGCGCGCCCATCACCGATGTGTGGCTCTGTTGGTACAGCTGGCCTTCCTGACCTGAGGTACGGGTGTTGTTCGACTTCGGCCCGAGGCAGGCGGGTAGTTTCTATGAATAATTTTTGGGCTTGAAATTTCGGGTGCAAAATATTCCATGACGGCCAATTTCCCATCCGAATCCCCTCAAGTGAGAAAAGTTTACCCATATCCATCATGATTCTCCAACTGTTCCATAGCCCGTACAGACATTGTCTAAGGGTGCGTTCCTGGCTCGTGTCATACTTCCGGTCTTCCGGGATGACACGAATCTGCCCCACATTTGGCCCCACTTTGGGTCATCCGAGACCCACTTCGGGTCTTCCGGCTAAAATTTGCCCCTGGTCTCGGAAAACACGAAGTTTGACCGGAAGTTTGACACGAGCCAGGAATGCACCCTAACATGGAACAGTAGGAGAATCAGGATGTCAACCGCATTCGGTGTTGTGGTGCGAGCTAGGGGCTGTCTCCGCTACGGTAACTTTCGAAATGTAGAGCCAGCGATACAGCGCTCAGATTTCGCATCTTCTTATAATCAATTCGTTGAAGTGCATTCCCTGGGGGATGTAATAGTTCCTATGTTCAGAATTGATATACCGAGGCAGCTGTTTCCCTGTCCATCAACTGTCAAATTATACTTCCATCTCTAGATCTCAGCGAAATTTATATGCGAATGTGTTAAATCCTTCGAAGGACACAGAGCTGATGTGAACATGAAACACAAGCATGACGCATGGGTACCAACCAAGGAACAAACTCTTTACATGTAAAGACCCTCAGGAACACCTTCTTTCTTCTTGTATAACACCTTCTCCTTAGCCTTGCGGAAATCTGCTTGTGTCACCTGAAAGCAAAAACAAACAGGGAAATAAAACCAAAATATGATCAACAACAAGCAAGCCCTTGTCACCACAGGAAGGAGCCATCACTACAACAATCACCCACTTCGCAGCCCTCGCCCTACTTTCACATACCTTCATGCGTCTTTCGCGAAGAGCGAGAAGCCCAGCCTCTGTGCACATTGCCTTGATGTCAGCACCCGAAAGCTCATCCTTGCTCAGCACAAACTCCTCCAGATTCACATCCTCCGATGTTGTCATACGAGAAGTGTGAATCTGCAAACCATGATGCAGCCATTAGGTCAGCAGAAGTTAAACCCCAGCCATTTATAATCGGTACTTTTGTACTTGGAAGTTCCCAACAACAGCAATCCTACGTTCAAAATCATTTCCCCTACTAACATAGACCTCACTCACCTGGAAAATGCGGCGCTTTGTTTTGATGTCAGGCAGAGGGAACTCGATCTTGCGGTCAATACGACCCGGACGCAGCAGCGCAGGGTCGAGACTGTCAATGCGGTTGGTGGCAAGAATGACCTTGACATCTCCACGGGAGTCAAAGCCGTCCAGCTGGTTCAGCAGCTCAAGCATCGTCCGCTGAATCTCCCTCTCACCTCCCGAATGAGCGTCATAACTGTTCATTACAAGCGAAAACGCAAGGGAAAAAATATGGTGAGCACAATTTTCAAAGTCCTTGGTTCACATGATACATGGTAAAGCGGAAGAGAAAGAGTACATGGGGTGGAGGAGAAGCTTACCGTTTGGTTCCCACAGCATCAATTTCATCAATGAAGACAATGGAGGGCGAGAGGTCATCCGCCACTCGGAATAGCTCCCTCACGAGTTTAGGTCCATCGCCCAGGTACTTCTGGATAAGCTCGCTGCCTACCACGCGCAGGAAGGTTGCTGACGTGGAATTGGCGACAGCCTGTGACAAAGGTGATGTGGAGAATGGAAGGCGAGGGCACGAAGAGGCAAGAACAGAACAGCGTCAGATTGGGACGGGAATTGGGTCGTGAACTTGGTCATATGGAGGTGGCTAAACCCGAAGCCTGGGGAATTCCCTGCCACACAGCATAAGCCGCACCTTCGCCAGCAAGGTCTTGCCAGTGCCTGGTTCACCGTAGAGAATGACTCCCTTGGGAGGCTTGATGCCAATGTCTTCGTAGAGCTCCGGATGTGTCAGAGGAAGCTCCACCGCTTCCTTAATCTCCTGAATCTGCTGCTCCAGCCCACCGACATCGGCGTAGGACTCCAGGGGAGCTTTCTCCACTTTCATCACGGATACCATGGGGTCCACCTCGTCCTGTAGGATGCCCACCACTGACAGCACCTGCAGGGAATTCAGAGATTGGACGAGATACGGAGGCAGCACGGGAGACGACGGGTAAGGAAGGAGAATCACAGGAATTACGGAAAGAACGGAGAGCAAGCAATCCGGCGCAAAACCTCCAAGAATCCGGCGCCGGTAGTTGACGGCGCCTAAGAGAGCAAAGGAGGGACCGATGAGCATAATCTTAGATCCGTGACTGTCGAAGCTAATCCTTGATGGGAATTCCATGTGAACAGCAGTTAGCCGAGAAGACGCACCTTATTGTGCATGAGGATAGAGCAGCCAGGCTCCAATTGATCCTTATCCACAAACGACAGGATGCTGACGTAATACTCCGGGCCTACGGATGACGACACGATGGCGTGATTCTCGTCGATGATTTCTTCAAGACTTCCCACGCTCATGGGAGTTCCGCGAAGATCATCCACCTTGGACCGATCCTCCTCGTTCTTCTCCTCCTGCGGCTTCAGCCGCTCCTGATTCGTCACGTACTCTTCCTCCATAAGAAGGTAATCCTTAACGCGCTCCAGCTTCAGCAGACGCAACTTGCACTTAGTAGCGGGAGTCACGACCGGCAAACGAGCCGCTGCTTCGGGTCCTTTGGCCTTCCGCTGCTTCCGGCCGACACGCGATGGCGGAGCAGCAGGCTCATACTTCTTCTTTTCCTTCCGGTCGTCCTTGCCATCGCCCGGCATGCCTTTTCCAGGCAGCCCAGACTGACCCTGCCCCATATCTAGTCGCTTTTCGTTCCCCTCGTTCCTTCCGAATTCCTACAATCTGAATTCGAGCAAAGCGAGCGGCCCAGAATAAGAACCA